CCCCAGCGCGCTCTTCCAGAGAAACCAAGCGTTCTGGGGTCAGTTTTAAGCAAATCCGGAGGTTTTTAAGCGCCGATACAAGTGCTTGGATATCAGAGAGGCTGCATGCGAGCGCGACAAGGGGGACCAGCGCGGCGGCGGGCAAACCCAAGCGCTATTTTTACGATTTCGGCTATCTAAGCGCCGCAGCGCGCTTCCGTAGCGAAGCCAAGCGTCCTGGGGCAGTTTCTAAGGAAATCCAATGGTTTTTAAGGGAAAAACCCGCGGCCCAATACCCTAAACTCACCAGGGCCGGCCGCGATTTGGGAGCATCCGGCCCCGGGTTAGGGGTTATGTGTTTCTGAGCGAGACACAGCCTCAGGCCGGCAGGCCGATTGTGGCGGTGAGCTCGACTGGCAGCTCGCTCTCACTTGCAGATCCTTACAGGCGAGGCGATGCGCGCCCCCAGGGCCGCGCCTGCAGTTTAGGGTTTAGGGTTTAGGGTTTAGGGTTTAGGGTTTAGGGTTTAGGGTTTAGGGTTTAGGGTTTAGGGTTTAGGGTTTAGGGTTTAGGGTTTAGGGTTTAGGGTTTAGGGTTTAGGGTTTAGGGTTAGGTTTAGGGTTTAGGGTTTAGGGCATTCAGGGTCGCATGAGGGTTTAGGGAGGGTTTAGGGTTTAGGGGGGGTCTAGGGTTTAGGATTTGGGCCGATGGCGCAAGCGCGCGCCTGGCTGCGATACCATTTTTAAATCAACGGTTGTTGGGGGGGCGTTTGCCCTAAGCCAGCGCGCGCCACGGTTGTCGCACTCCCGCCCCAGACCACCCAGAGTGAAGCCTTTTAGGGTTTAGGGTTTCTCCCCCCAACCCCCCTATCTCGGGGGGCTGTCGAAGTGTTGCGCGCAGGCGATCGCCGACGCGGCCGTGGCACTGCGCATCCACTTGAGCATGCGCGCAGGGCGCGTGACGTAAGCGGCGCTTCGGCTCGTCGCCCCGTCGAAGAGACAGCCTGTGGCGATTTCGGCGTTGAGCTTCGCCGTTGGGCTGCCGCTGGCGCAGCATGTTCATGCGTTGCCGCTTTTGCCTTCGGCACTGGGTTGCGACACTGGGCTGTGAATGCTGGGATGCGCGCGCGCGGCCGCGGCCGTAGCAATGCGCGCCGATGCGAGCACGCGCGCTGGGTGCATGGCGCTGGCGCGTCAGGTCGCCTCCTCGATGAGGCAGCCGCTTGCACCTTCGGCGTGGGGCTTCTCCGGTGGGCTGCCGCTGGCGCAGCAGTTCCACAGGGGTCCGGCATTTGCCTTCGGCATTGGAAAGCAGCACTGCGAAGGCGCTGGCGCGGGAATCCCATGGTTTCCCGTGGGCCTGGAGCGAGTGGCTGCGCCGTCGGGCTCCTCGCTGACGGCGACGCGTACGGCAGTTACATTCGCCCGCTGCTTTGGGTTTCGCCTTTGGGGTCGTCCCCCCGCTGAAGCGATTGCAATCATCGACGCAGCCGCCTTCGGCGCGAGCTTCGGGCGGCTGGAGGGGGAGCGCGAGGGGGTGGGTCTGGCACCCCCTCGCTACGATGCGCGCGCATGGCTGCGGCAGCACCTCCATGGCAGAGCCCGTGGAATGCTTCGGGGAGGCCCTATGGCAGCGCTGGGAGAGCGCCTGGAGCTTCCCCCAGGAGCCCCGGGGCCGCCTGGAACCGCCTGGGCACGCTTGGGAGCGCGCGGGAGCGCATGGGAGCGCTGCGTGGCGCCGAACGCTGGGGAGCGCCTGCGAGCGCTTGGGAGCGCGCCAGGAGCGTGCCGGGAGCGCTTGGGAGCGCCGGCGAGCGCCTGGGAGCGCCTGGGGGTGTGCCGGGGGCGCTTGGGAGCGCCTGGGAGCGCTTGGGAGCGCAGCCAGCGCGCGCCTGGGAACGCGCTTGGGGGCGTGCCGGGAGCGCCCAGGAGCGCTTGGGAGCGTGCCGGGAGCGCTTGGGAGCGCCTGGGAGCGCCTGGGAGCGCCTGGGAGCGTGCCGAGAGCGCCTGGGAGCAGGCCGGGAGCGCCTGAAGCGCCGTGGAACGCTTGGGAGCGTGCCGGGAGCGCCTGGGAACGCTTGGAAGCGCCTGGGAGCGCCTGGGAACGCTTGGGAGCGCCTGGGTGTGCCTGGGAGCGCCTGGGAGCGCCTGGGAACGCCTGGGAGCGCCTGGCAGCGTGCCGGGAGCGCTTGGCCTGGAGCGTTTGGAAGCGCTTGGAGCGCCGCATGCTGTAATTTCATAGGTTTGGAGCACCCAGGGAGCGCCGCATGCTGTATTTTCAAACGTTTGGAGCCCCAAGGGATGTAGGCGGTTGTAGCGAACCCGCTTGCTAGGGCTGAGGGTTAGGGGTTCCTTTTCTTGGGAGAACACCCACGGGGATGCACCGCGCGGCGTGCGAATTCCTCCTCAGCGGCTATCGCCGCTTCGTCGGTGCGGCGCACGCTGTATGGGCAGGCTCACTGATCGCTCGGCCAGGCGCCACGGGCTTCTGACGATGCACCGCCCGTGGCTTGCAGTTTAGGGTTTAGGGTTTAGGGTTTAGGGTTTAGGGCTAGGGCTAGGGCTAGGGTTTAGGGTTACGGTTAGGGTTGAGGGTTAGGGTTTAGGGTTACGGTTAGGGTTAAGGGTTAAGGGTTAAGGGTTAGGGTTTAGGGTTTAGGGTTTAGGGTTAGGGTTAGGGTTAAGGGTTAGGGGTATGGTTTGTGTTGAGGGTTAAGGTTTAGGGTGAGGGTGAGGGTTTAGGGTTAGGGTTCGGGTTCGGGTTTAGGGTTAAGGTTTAGGGTTCAGGGTTTAGGGTTAGGGGTAAGGTTTAGGGTTAGGTCATAGGGTTTAGGGTTACGGTTAAGGTTTAGGGTTAGGGTTAGGGCTAGAGTTTAGGGTTAGGGTTAGGGTTAAGGATTAGGGTGTAGGGGTTAGGGTTAGGGTTAGGGTTTAGGGTCAGGGTTTAGGGTGTAGGGTTTTGGGGGTTAGGGTTTAGGGTTAGGGTTTAGTGTTAGGGTTGAGAGTTTAGGGCTAGGGTTTAGGGTTTAGGGTCAGGGTTGGGGTTGAGGTTAGGGTTTAGGGTTAGGGTTAGGGTTTAGGGTTCAGGGTGAGGGGTAGGGTTGGGGTTAGGGTGTAGGGATAGGGTTGAGGGTTAGGGTTAAGGGTTCAGGTTTAGAGCTTAGGTTAGGGCTAGGCTTAGTGTTAGGGTTTGGGGTCAGGGTTAGGTCTACGGTTAGGGTTTAGGCTTCGGGTTAGGGATTAAGGATTAGGGTTCAGGGTTTGGGTTAGAGGTTAGAAGTTCGGGGGGGTCGGGGCGGGGGTGGCGGGGATGGGGTTCCGGAGCCGGGGCGCGAGCCGGGGAAAGGGGGGGGGGGGGGTCGCCGACGACGGTTCGGGAAAGGGGGGGGGGGGTGGTTCGCCACGACGGCTCGCGGCAAGGGCAAGACAGGGGGCTTCGCCGACGGACGGATTGGGCAAGTTGGCGGGGGGGGGTCGCCGACGACGGCTCGGGCAAGGGGGGGGGGGGTGGGGTCCGACCCCCCCCCCCCCTTTAGGGGAATCCAGCGGCGCGCCCTCCTGATTGCCCCACCCCGCCCAGGAACGAGCGGATTCGCTATCGGGGGCCTATCGCCAGTCCATGGTCGATGTGTTGCCGATACCAGGTCGATGCGTCCCCCCCACGTGCCAGTCCGCCCTCGCTTCCGTTGCCCCTCAAAAGCGCCCTCTCGTGGGAGCGCCCCAGAGACCGACCCCTGCGGGCGCAGGCCCAGAGCACTGGCGGCTGCAGCACCTCCTCGAGGGGCCCCGAGGGGCGATTCGCCAATCGTTCTGGCAGGGCGGGGGCCCTGTCACTGGCACGATCGAACTCTTGGCATCGCTCGGACGTGTGCATGTTGTCTGGGCGAAGACCATCCGAGGAGCATCCTGGATGATCTCGCGAAGAGTACACGCACGAAACCGAGCAATGCACGGGGGATGAACGTCCGAGCGATGGCAAGAAATGGGTACGGAAAGAAGGGGTACGATGCCCAACAGCAGTCCCTGTTCATTTTGAACGCGACTCGCCGTCGGCGTCGCCGCGGTCGTTGCCCATTTGAGACCACAGGCCGCCTTCCCAACAGCGACCGCTTTCGGATCTGGGCAGCGTTTGTGGTTGGGCATCGTGCCCACTTCGGGCGTCTCAGAGGGTGGGGGTCCTGTCAGCCCCCGAGCTCGGGGAACTAACTTTCTTCCTCGGCGGCTAGGCAGGGTAACTGTGCTGGCGGAGGGCTACCTAAACGGGAAGCTCGGGGAGCAAACAATGGCATAAACACAAACTCTCGGAGGTCCGCGCGGATCTCTCGGATCGGCGCCGGGCTCCCCCCGGCGGCGCCTTTGGCGTTGCCCCGTGGGCCTAGAGAGCCGACTCAAGCAATGCTTGATGCTTGCATTGCAGTCAACCCGCATGGTAAGGATGGTTAGCTTTCCCAAGGGAATACATCGGTCGTTGAAAGTAGGTATCTTAGGATTCCCAGATTCCAATCTACTTTAAGCGCCTTCCTACTTCAATGATCGAGTGGCTTCACCGTTTCTGTCCTCCCAAGGGGGCGGACGGAATCAACGCCTTCCTACTTCATGGTTCTACTTACTTCGTCCGACCGATGGGTACCCTTGCAACCTTGCCTCTTCGGTCCGTCCTTCACCACTTCCGTTGGCCGCGCCCCGCTCGCAGAGTGTCGACATGGGCGTCCACGGCCCTTGCATCCTTGTCGCACATCCTTGTGATACTTACGGGCCGCCTGGATGTGCTTCCCGATGTCAGCCCCCGAGTGCTCCCCTCCCTCGAAGAAGAAGAAAAACTTGCAAAATCATAAACTTTTGGCGCTTCGCGGGGATTTCCCGGGTCCGCGCTGGGCCCCCCTGGCGGCGCCTCTGGCGCCGCCCTTGGCGCGCTCCGCGCGCCAAGGAGGGGGGCCCAGCGCAGATCCAAGAAACCCGCGCGGAGCGCCACAAGTTTATGTTTATGGCGTTTTCTCTTCCTCCCACTCCCCTCGCTCGCAGGGCGCCGCGGGACGGCGACATCGCGGTCCACCTGGGCCCGTCCTCGTTCGAGGTGCGCACGGCGGAGGAGGCAGCGGCCCTGGTGCGGCTGCTCCGGGGCGGCCAGGATCGGGGCCTTAGCGTCGTCGTCATCGTCGTCGTCGTAGGCGCAAGCTTCGTCGTCATCGTCATCGTAGTTTTCGTCGTAGACTACCAAGGGCACGGTTGGGCCTGGGTGTGGCTTGCGATCGGCGCTGTTGGGGCCTGGGGGTCACGAAACTGTCCTCGTCGAGCCTCCCCGGGGCGCGGCGGAGAACTCTATGCAGGTCCTCGCCCGGCCCCCCAAGGTTGCGCCCCAGGGTGCGGGTTGCAACCCAAACGCATTGCAAACCATACCTTTCGGAGTCGATGACAGTGGGGGGGGGGGGCGGGGGGGCGGGGGGGACAGGCAGGCAGGCAGGACCAGAGGCATGTCCTCCTCCACCTCCTCCTGCTGCTCCTCTCCCTCCTCCATCCCTCTTCCTGACAGTCAGCCCGCATGGTAAGGATGGGCAGCCTTCCCGAGGGTACCCTTGCATCCTTGCCTCCTCGGCCCATCCTTGGCCACCTCCGTTGGCCGCGCCGCGCTCGAGAGGCTTCGAGATGGGCGTCCAGGGCCCTGGCATCCTTGTCGCGGGTCCTGGTGCTACGGGCCGGCTGTATACGCAAGTCCTCCCTGTCGCACCCCCAGACGTGTCGGCGGCGCGGGCCGGGCGATTCGCCTGAGCTTTCCTCGCCATTTGTGATCCTCGAGCCTGGCATTTGCAGCAGCCCCACGGATGGAGGCCCGGGGAGACACCCAATCATCGCTAGTCTTGAGTCGGGCGTGTCCCTCTACAGGATGAAAATTCAAAAATGGTCTGGGGACGAGGTTTGGACTATCCTAGATCATTTCCCAGTATTTCTGACGATCTTTTTGTTTTCCTCCGAAGTCCGCCTGCATGCCCGACCGAACATGTGATCCTCGAGCCTGACATTTGCGACAGCCTCACGGATGGATACTGGGGGGCTCTACCCACCGCCAGTCGGGGCTCGGTGCCCCGCAACCCAGCCCCGGCGTGTCCACAAGAGGCCCCAAGATAGCTCTGGACAGAGGCCTCGACAGGCCCAAGCAGTCAAACTCCAGTGGCCTTCATACGTGGCCTCCAAGACAGGCCCAGGACGGCTCCATGACGGCCCAGGACCGCCTCAAGATCACCCCGGAGCCCCCCCGGTGGCTCCCAGACCCACCATGAAGCCTTGCGAGGCCCCACAGAACCCAGGCACGATCTGTCAGCACGATCGAAATGGGCACGGACAGAGTGGGCAGGAAGACCGGCAGCAGTTCCTGTTCATTCCGAACCAGGTCCGCTGCCGGCGTCGCTGCGGACATTGTCCATTTGAGCTAGGAGGCCGCATGGCCAGCATCGGCCGCTGTCGATGTTGGACAGCATTTGCTGTTGGGCATCGTACCCATTTTTGCTATACCCCTTTCGGGCTCCAACGCCTTCGAAGGGATCGCGAGAGCCCAAGAGCACTCCCAGATAGCCTCGAGAGGGCCCTGAATGTGCAACAGGGCAAGCTTGGCTTTCTCTGTCGCAGTTCGCGACACCACTGCCTCAGCCAGTGATGTCGTGGCCCATCAAGGTCGAGGCGGTGTCAGTTTACCCGTGTGCCTGTCTGGTGCCTGAGTTGCCGAAGAGTGCGTCAGATCTCATTGGGCGGAAGATCTGGGAATGGGAATAACGGACCCCGCTTAGAACAAAAGTCCCCCATGATGGGGATGGTTACCATGATGGTCGCATGCTTCGCGATCAAACATCGCGCTTGAGGGTAAAATGATGATGATGATGCTGCTGCTGCTGATGATGAGTGTTGTTGTTGTTGTTGTTGTTGGTGTTGCTGTTGCTGTTGTTGTTGTTGCTGTAGTAGTAGTCGTTATTGTTGGTGTTGGTGTTGGTGTTGGTGTTGTTGCTGGTGTTGGTGTTGCTGTTGTTGTTGTTGGTGTTGTTGTTGTTGTTGAACATTATTTATTCTAAAGAATAAGTATTGTTGGGCCCCCTGGTGCGCGCCCCCCCTGCGCCGCCTAGGCCGCAGCTACATTTTCATCATTTTCGTGAGGAAGCATCAGAAAAGAGGGTGTGTACAGGATCCGGTTGTTTTGTTGTAATCCGCTTTCCCTTGCAAAAAACAATAGAAAATGACATTTCTTGTTCTAATATAATCAAATTTCAAGAATCCCTTGCAAAAAATAAGGTAAAGTGGACATTCGCGCGCGCAAGACGAAATCCTTCCAAAACCTTAGTGTTCGCAGCGATTTTAACATAAAAACATCAAAAAACCAATGGTTTGTTCAACAAAAAATTGTCAAAATCTCATCCCGCGCGCTCTTGCGGATTCGTAGGAAACCCAACACTTTTTAAACATTTCTGTCAAACGGGCTTTTTCGAGCAACTTTTTCGAACTTCTGCAACAACGGTTGCGCACCTGCCAGGGCCATCATCCCTGTCAAATAATACCATGCGGGACACATTCGTTTTTCTTCGCGCGCGCACGCCGTCGTCGTCGGCCGCGGGGCCTTGAATAGTAGCCACGGTCGTCCGCATGCCACGAAGTGAAGTGTCCGAACGTCATAGGGCGGGAAGCTGGGTGTAGGTGGTGGCGAAGAGTCGTTTGGAAATTTGGTAGAGCTTGAACCGGCCCCCCACAAAGTGGGGGTATTGCCCGCCTCCTATGAAAACCCTGGCACTGGTGAGAACGGAGTGTCCCCAGTCTTAAATGATTGTTGTGGTTGTTGTTGTTGTTGTTGTTTGCACGGTGTCGTTGTTGCTGTGGCTGTTGCTGTTCCGTTGGTGCGTGTTAGTTGTTGGTGTTGTTGTTGTTGTTGAACATTATTTATTCTAAAGAATATTATTGTTGGGCCCCCTGGTGCGCGCCCCCCCTGCGCCGCCTAGGCCGCAGCTACATTTTCATCATTTTCGTGATGAAGCCTCAGAAAAGAGGGTGTGTACAGGATCCGGTTGTTTTGTTGTAATCCGCTTTCCCTTGCAAAAAACAATAGAAAATGACATTTCTTGTTCTAATATAATCAAATTTCAAGAATCCCTTGCAAAAAATAAGGTAAAGTGGACATTCGCGCGCGCAAGACGCAATCCTTCCAAAACCTTAGTGTTCGCAGCGATTTTAACATAAAAACATCAAAAAAACCAATGGTTTTTCAACAACAAATTGTCAAAATCTCATCCCGCGCGCTCTTGCGGATTCGTAGGAAACCCAACACTTTTTAAACATTTCTGTCAAACGGGCTTTTGCGAGCAACTTTTTCGAACTTCTGCGACAACGGTTGCGCACCTGCAAGGGCCATCATCCCTGTCAAATAATACCATGCGGGACACATTCGTTTTTTCTTCGCGCGCGCACGCCGAAATCTCAAAAAACCATTGGGTTCTTAAGAATTTTAGCACCGCGCATCATAAAATCACACGAATCGCACCGTAGGTCCTCGAAAAACACCTGCACGACTTTTCAAAATTTCCACCCGCGCGCGCTGTCCGAATCCTAAAAAAACCAATGGTTTTCCAACATTTATGTTACACGAGCTCGCGCGAGCTACTTTCGCACGCTCTTGCAACGGGGTTCGCGCGCCTGCCAGGGGCCATAATGCCTTGCGGTTGCGCCATAGGTTGCGCCCTCGGCCGCCGAGAATACAACGCCCCCCTATTGGTTGCGCCATAGGTTGCGTCCTCGGCCGCCGAGAATAAAACGTCCCCCGACTGGTTGCGCCATAGGTTGCCCCAGGAGGCCTTCAAGAGGCCCCAAGAGCCCGCCGTGAGGACCCAATAAGCCCCCAAGAGGCCCCAAGATGCTTCCAAGAAGCCCCCCAAAGCCCCTCAAGAGGACCCCAAGCGGCGCCAGGAGGCTTCCCCCCTTCCCCAAGAGGACCCCAAGCGGCCCCAGGAAGCCTCCGACTGATCACTGGCACATCCGTAGCCGTCTCGGATCAAGGTATCGCCTGTGTTCTTGGATGGTCCATGGCTTTGACGGCGAAAGCGCCTGTGTTCTTGGATGGTCCATGGCTTTGACGGCGAAAGCCCTTGACGAGCAGTATGGCCCGGAGCTGTCGCGGCCTCCCTTGGCCGACTGCGAGAGCCCGTATTATTTGCATCAGGCGCTCGTTGCAAAAGGGTATCCAGGTCAGTCACCAGGCGTGCAAGACTTGGTGGGGCAAGTATCGGGTTGTGCCTGGCAAGGTTAGTATTTCTAGCGCCCAGGAGCTGGAGGAGCAGCACGGTTCTGCCATCCGCCACCTGGGCATCGAGTATAATACAGCTTTCAAATTACGCGGGGCGCTCCGACAGTTGGATCCACCACTGTATGTGACAGATCAGGTCGCAAAGATGTGGCTACTGCAGTATTCTTCCAAAGAGACGCTTGTCAAAGTGCAGAACGCTGGCCATCTGGAGACCTGGTATGGAGAACGTATTCGCAAAGACATGCCCGAGGGGACTACTGACGGGGCCGTGTTGAAGCAGTGGCTCCTGGGACATTTATCTGTATCTGCTGACGCCAGGGTATGCCAGAAGTGGCTCAGCACGGAGTGGGGCGCCAAGGGAGCATTGAATACTGCCCAAGCTGTGGAGGAATGTATAGGCCAGCGTCTTCGACTCAATCAGTATCGGGAGAGCTTCGCCGATGAGGCCGCCGCGGAGGTCCTCTCGCAGCTTCTCTCGGAGAGCGACCCTCCCGTCGCTGTCAGCGGTATGGTTTTGAGGCAATGGTACGTGAAGTATCACCCTGACTCTGGACTTTTGCAGTGTGACACGGCTGAAAAGCTCGACGCGGCACTTGGTGACCACATGCGCGCGGTATATCCAGGGCTGAAGTACCACACCTTGCATGCCGTGTTGCGTATGCGACGGAAAGCTGTCTTGGTGTCCCGAGGAGTGTTGAGACAGTGGTGCGATGCGCATGCGTCGGTGAGCTCTTCAGTGCAGGCGACGGCTTCATCCGCCCAGGCCGTCACCAGGCGTGTATTGAAGCGCCCGGCGGCGCAGGTCGCAGGCGGGGTATTGAAACGGCCAGCCGCCGCCGGATCTGCCCGCGTGGCCAAACGGCC